ATCCCACGCTCGAAAATGGCGCAGTATGGTGAGGTAGCACGGAAGCAGCATGAGACGCGAGGCCCAAGCAAGACCATTTCCTCATATTTATCAGTAGGGGGCAACCAACACGCACATGTGGCGATGCCAAATCCGCTATGTAATCCTAGCTTCGGAAACAATCGGAATTCATCTATCAACAACATTATCTGAATATCTCGAATTTGTTTTAGGTGAAATAACCGTGTTTCTGTAGAGTTAACTTGGAACTTTTTTATTTAGCTCTCATGTCAAAGTGAACTTTATTTCACGTTCACGTCGCTGTGTCATGCGAATACTAATTTCACAAACTAACAAGAAATTCAGATTGTTGATACTTGAAACGTGGTGAATGGCTTCAATTGTTTTATGAAAATAAAAAGAAAATTTTCCGAACAGGAATGGAAGGTATACTTTTTTACATGGGCATATATGTACATACAGGCATACATACGTCTCAAATACAGTGTTATCGTAATGTCACCATACTGATTCAAACGTTGTGGATTTAATTATTCATGGGTATGCATAAACTGTGTACAGGGAAAATTGACTCTGAACTAACGGATTCTGCTCCCTTATCTAATTGAATTCAAACGGCCTCGTCCGAGATCGTAGCCATGAGAAAATATATCTTATACATAAATATAACTAATACACGATTGTGCAAGTTGAAATATTGCATGGTATTGACCTCGTAAACCTCATCGCATGAAATGAATTTATCCTGTGAAAATTTGCCAACAAAAAGAACTGGGATAAAAGTTATATTTCAGCTGTCACCCAGTCAGTAGGAGGCAACTTCATTAATATATATTTCCTAAACGGAAATGGCATTATTTCATTTGTGGACGTTCTTCGCGATTGACCTAACATGAATGTTTATCATCTAAGAATTTCCTCCAGCAAGACATAAATTATTTCCATTTTTCCCGAGAAGGTTCAGCTATGGCTTCCAGTTTCGGCGATAACCTCAGATCGATTCCTCACGCTTGATGCCATGGAAGGTGTAATTCCGAGGATCGAGGAATTCCTGAAAACTTCTCCTTGGCCAGATCTGGTTCCAATGTCACAATGGAACGCACAGACGCAGGTTCGACATGCTAGGTGAGAATGGTATGCTTTGAAACGGGGTATTTCCAGGCAGTATGTTTTTTCCATGGCTATCCTTTGTCGCAAAATGACATCTACATTTTTAGGCTTTGGCAACGTCTCGATGGACCTATTCATCAGAGTTGATATTTCTACGAGCGTTTCATTCTGTGAGTAGAGTCCATAGTTTTT